TCTCTCTCTCTCTCTCTCTCTCTCTCTCTCTCTCTCTCTCTCTCTCTCTCTCTCTCTCTCTCTCTCTCTCTCTCTCTCTCTCTCTCTCTCTCTCTCTCTCTCTCTCTCTCTCTCTCTCTCTCTCTCTCTCTCTCTCTCTCTCTCTCTCTCTCTCTCTCTCTCTCTCTCAGTTCTATTTTCCACCCTTCCCCCACTTTCTCTATGTCTCCTTCCCTCTCTCCTTTTCCCTCTCTTCTTCTCTCTCTTACTTCCGCTCTTTCCCTCTCTATATATGTTTCTTTTCCCTTACTTCTCGCTCCCTCTCTCTTCCTCCACTACTCCTATCTTTCTCTATTCCTCCATCACTCATATTCTATCTCCCTTCCTCCTTATCGGTATCTCTCTCTACTTCACTCTTATTCTCTCAATCTCTCCTACACTTCCGTCTCTCTTCCTCACTCTCGTTAGCTCGCCCTCCCACCAATTCTCTCTACCTACCTCCCATTACCTTTTCTTAATCTCCTTCTCTAACCATCCCTCCCTCATATATTTTCCACAAATCGTGACATTTATCATGTTCTATTGTTTATATTCCAGAGGTTTGCTTGTATCGTCGCTGTGGTGACGCTCCTGGTCGTCTCCTGCCACGCCGACCCCGGAGGCTCTGGTGGAGGTGGAGATGGAGGCTACGGGGGAGGTGGTGGAGACTCAAGAGGAGGTGGAGGCTCTGGTGGAGGTGGAGGCTCTGGTGGAGGTGGAAGCTACGGGGGAGGTGGTGGAGGCTCAAGAGGAGGTGGAGGCTCTGGTGGAGGTGGAGGCTACGGGGGAGGTGGTGGAGGTGGTGGTGGAGGACGAGGTGGTGGTGGTGGAGGATACGGAGGTGGCGGTGGAGGACGTGGAGGTGGAGGTGGTGGTGGAGGATACAGTGGCGGTGGTGGAGGGCGAGGTGGTGGTGGTGGAGGATACAGTGGTGGCAGTGGAGGTGGTGGTGGAGGACGAGGTGGTGGTGGTGGAGGATACAGCGGTGGTGGTGGAGGTCGTGGAGGAGGATACAGTGGTGGCGGTGGAGGTCGTGGAGGAGGTGGTGGAGGAGGATACAGTGGTGGCAGTGGAGGTCGTGGAGGAGGTGGTGGAGGAGGATACAGTGCTGGCAGTGGAGGTGGTGGTTATGGTGGTGGTGGTAGAGGAGGTGGTGGTGGAGGTGGCAGTGGAGGATACGGTGGTGGCGGTGGAGGATACAGTGGTGGCGGTGGAGGTCGTGGAGGAGGTGGTGGTGGAGGATACAGTGGTGGCGGTGGAGGTCGTGGAGGTGGTGGTTATGGTGGAGGTGGTGGATCCTCAGGAAGTTACGGAAAGTAATATGATGAAAGGTTCTCCTCCGAACTTCTCTACCTGCAGCACCATTAGACACCATAAATTATATCGCCATATTGGTATAGACAGCTCTGACGGTCCACTTCTCCAGTAACAATGGTCCTGTAGGGCTCTATAAACCAAAACAAATCTCTTGATATACTCACATATATCATTAGGCACTAACATTATATATATTATTTATTTATATTTTGCATCAATGGTAATAAAACATAGCTAAATCATGTTCAGAGTTTTATTTATAAAATTTTAAGGTTGTGTGTTATAAATTTCAACAATTATTTAATATTTTGAGAGAAAGACCAAATAAATCTCTCTCTTTTTAACTGAATTTGGAGCAATGTTTTAAATAAAAACAATGAAATGTTAAGTAAAGGTAGCAAAATTATATACAAAGTTAGGTCGTAGCAGATAAAAGCAAAATTATATACAAAGTTAGGTCATAGCAGATAAAAGATCGATAGGTAGCATTAATTACGTAATATTATTCCCAAGTGGTGAACCCTAGGTGCTTTGTGACATTTACAATGTGCCGTAACATATTAAAAAGTAGTTTTGTTCTGTTACAAACTAAACACTTAAATAAGATTTTTAATGCATTTTTTTATCAATAAACAATTCGGTGTGGAGCGAGTAAATTTGTATTCCAAAAGTGTGGCCCACAGAAAAGGTCTGGGAACGACTGGTTTAGAGTCTTATCTTATGATTTTAGGCTCTTAGCTATACATTTCACAATACCAGGAACTTTATAAGAATCTGAAAACTATGTATTTTACTTTAACACGTCTGAAATGTAGTAACAGTAAGAACTCTAAATGCTATGCTATATTAACTTTTTCCTTGTCTTTCCAGTAAAACGTTAAATTTAGTTGTCACTATTTATCGTTACCTTGTATTTTATTTATTTGTCACTGAAGTATGTTGTATAGATTCTAAGCGAATTGAATAAGTCGAGTCATAAAACCTTGCCTGATTCCAACCATTCTGCTTGAAATAGTTGGTATAGCGACGTCCTCGCTTTTTGTTGGTCGGCGTTCGATCCCCGAGAGTCCAACTAATTGGCCACAAGTCCTTCACTCTGTCCAAGCCCAGCCGATATCCTTTTCTCAAATTCCCTTCAAGTGCTACGAACTAGTTATATTGGTTTGGTGCTTTCTCCTCATAGTTACCATACCCTTCCATACTGACCATTCTGGTGATCTACCATTCTAACAATCCCTACGATGACGGAATGTTAAATGTAAGTTGCATGACTGAGAAGCATTAAGGATGGTTCAAATGTTGAAGCTGGCCTTATTATTCAGTAGCCTTTTATATGATGAGACTGTCCCAGCAGGATTACTCGTTGTCCTTCATCAGGACTGGTCTTAGTGGTAAAGTTGGCAGAATAACATAATGAATGGCGCTCCTAAGTAGGCTGGGCTTGTGCTTACCTTCGAATCATTTCGGTGCATAAACCACACTGCACAGCCCGTTCAAATCAACAAAGGGCAAACTTTCATTCCATGCAGCCGCTAAACTATTTGTTTTGAAAGAAAAAGCTATACACACACAACGCTCAACTGATGACGTTTGAAATTTTGTCGAAAAGCACATCGCTGATAACTTTTGTTCGAATCATAATCCAGTACATGCTTCATCCACGTACAACAAATACAAATAACTGCGAACAAAACCTAATCACCTAACCTATGCTTTAATATGGACAATATGCTAAAATATAATTCAGTAATAATGATTTATTGTGTCGGGGGACAGGCAGCCAGTTTATACCTACAGCACATGTTAGATTTATATCATGATACCCCCGCGGGTTGATTTACTGACCTTTCTCAGGATGGAAATACAACATGCCGATTAACGCTTGGGTACCTTAGGTGAACATGTGCATTATGTGATAGGAAACGGGCCCAACCATTTCTGTCTCGCCCGAATTCGAACCCAGAATTCTCGACTGAGTCTAGAGTTTACCCGACTGTACTACCGGGACCCTATATATAATAGAATCAAATTATATTTGAGAAAACTACTCTTTAATATTAACAGCATGTTATAATCAATGAAAGTGAGTTGGAATAAACTTTGCCTAGGGAGAGTTGCACTGTAGAGTGGGAAATTAGTGACTTTGCTCATAAGTATTTATTCTTGAAATAAAATAATCCTGCTAATTGTACAAGAAAGTTGAAGCTCAAAAATAGATAAAAACTATCTGTTATAATTAATAACAGAAAATCATTGTTATCTGAGTGCAATTTGTTAACGTTATCAGTTGTTTAACAATAAGCAATTTGTGTAAAGAATCAAGCCCAATGAAGTTCATACATATTTATTTTCAATTTTATTTCCATGAATATTGTTGGTATTTTCGTACTCTGTTAAATTATAGGAACAGGAAACGAATATGATTTTATTGTAACGATAATAATAGTTTCACGAACATGAATTTTTGCACTTTTTGAGGCAAAAATACAATAAAACATAGTCAGCATTAAAATAAAAAAATATTTTATAATATTAATATTATATAAATATATCAAATAACATATATATTTAAAAAAAATAACACCACTCTGAAGACATGGTATGCCCAAAATTTCTAAATTATTAAAATATTTGTTTAATAAACTATGAATAATTTACGCATTTAAACTTGGCAGATGGTTCTTAAAAAGAATTGTAAGCAACTAATTAATTCAATTTATTTCATTATTATGCTCCCCATACCCATCACGTGGGCGGTGGTGTAAACGGTTAAAGAGGCACTTGATCGGTTCAGGAACTGAACCCCATAGTTAATTTAGCAAAGCAAGTGACATTTTTTTAAGTTAGTTACACAATTTTTAATTTTACATGCACATGCACATAATATATGCAATCATTTACACAAATACATAAATATATCAATAATCATTTTATATCGCTAGTGTTTCAACAAGAGTCTCACAACTGTCTTTATACAAGGCACTTTACCTCTATTGTGAGTCGCAATTACTAGTCTTCCTCCACACTCACTCAACTGGGTGGCAGCTTTAGTCATTTACATGCAGTAAAGATAATAACAAAATTACTTTTTTTAATAACATATTTCACAACACATCATAATAATAATAATAATAATAATAATAATAATAATAATAATAATAATAATAATAATAATATTAGTAATTATATAAAAATTTTAGTAATTATAACATACAATTATAAAATCATAGACATTATTTTCATCTTAAAACGTTTATATTATCATATGTGTTTGTGTCCAAATCCATATAACAATTAAAACTTTTTGAAATAACATAAATTGTGCTAAATGAAATTTTCGCATATGTTTGAAAATCACGGTTTTCCGTGTATCCTGACAAATCTTTGTGTTACATAAAAGTCACAGAAGTGGGTAGGCTTTATATACTAAGTTCAACAAAGTGTTTGTTATCACTGTATTCCTACTTCTTCATATCTCAATGTACTTGCCATAAACTTAAACTAGTGGGATGCTCAAGCGACTACTACTATCAAGAGAAATATAATTAAGCAATTCAACTAAACAATAGTTCCATGACTAATAACCTAAAAGAAAAGTGCATTTATTATATACATTCCTGCAGTACAAAATAAATCCTCAGAAAATGTAATTAAAAGGGTTTTGTCATACGTGTATTGTAGTTTAGCTGAAAGGGATACCCCGATCGTACCCAAGAATGTTATTCACCCTCATTTTCCATATGCATCTTTTCCTCTTTTCCTGTCCTTGTCCTCTCCTCTTCCTTCCATTATCCGACCTTGATCCTCCCCCATTCTCTTAGAAAATGTATTATTACAAAGCACTGTAATTGCTGAACACTATTGGAAACACAACAAATATTTCCGAATTTATGAAAATCACATGAGAGGTTCTCTATAAAGGCCGATATTTCTTAAAGTATTTCACTTGAGTCGGCGTCAACAGGCCTATGATACTCCGCTATGCAAAATGAATCATTGTGGAAAGATGGGTGAGGCTAGCCTAAAGCGTCTAGCTTCCATCCTCGGACACAGACAGAAAGACAGACATTCTATTTCTTACATAAGATGATTATTGTTATTACAAAGTGAATACAGGTGTTTAGACAAGTAAACTAGTGTATATATGGCACATGAAGAGAATTAGGTGAGTTCAACCCAACCCTTCAATTAACAGGCGCTGAGAGGCCTATCTTATTCTGATCATCAACTAGTGTATTCTCTGTGTTACAAGGCTAGTAAACGATCTTCTGTTAGATCGGATTTGGGTTAGCGAATATAATTCAGTGTGTAAAACTCAAGACATTTATGTAAAACTGCAATAAACTCCGTCGGTTAAGCAAACATCGATGACAATATACAATGTCAGTTAAGCGGTTCTTGCGGCAATATTCACTGCCGGTTTAGCGGTCATCGCTGTGGATTTCAACAACCAACAATAATCTGGGGCGTCATCCTCACTGGGAAGATACATGAATTCCATTATTTACGGTGTCTTACTTCGTGCGAAAGTTGGCAGCATGATATAACTTGAAGCACCAAGGTCGCGTGTGACTCCAGACCATATATATGCGGTGATTGCTGTTACCGCTACACATCGTCCTGATCACTCCAACATGGTAAGCTCTCACAGCATATTGTTGTAAAAGAGTCTGTGTCTCTCGCTCTCTCTCTGTTTCCCTCACGTTCTCTTTTCCACCCTGCCACACGTTCTCTATGTCTATTTCCATCTCTCTCTCCAGTTCCTCTCTCGTTCTCTCTCTCTCTCTCTCTCTCTCTCTCTCTCTCTCTCTCTCTCTCTCTCTCTCTCTCTCTCTCTC